ACATTTAAATCAGAAAATATTGACTCTTCGCATTTACTATATAGAGAATTTGCAGTCATTCTACTTAACATGGCATTAGTGGGTTCAAAGTTAGTACAATTATTCTGACTTTTACTGCCACCTTTTATACATTGTTTTGTATGAAGTAGCCCACTTATAGTTTCAGTTATTAATTTTGATCTGATCTTGGTTTTCATACAATTTACAGAAGAGAATATTCGTTCGCAATCCGCGTTTGCATGTGGTAAACTAAGCAAAGCCAGTGCAAAATTACATAGTTGAATAAATTCTTGAGTATCATTTTCGATGCTAAACTTTTTAATAGACCACCTATAACCGAATGCATTTAAATTTTAAATTAATTAATAGTTATAATAAAAATTGTAATTTTTATTTACCAAAATGTATCCGGTTCAATCATATTTTCAATTTCATCTGGAAGTGAACTTATTGAAATAGGTAATTTACGCCATTCGTCATCAATGACTTGTATTCGGGGATCATTAATATTAATGATACAAGGAACTAATTTAATTAGATTGACAAGAGAAGGCTTAGTGTTTCTAAATTCTAATGACAAAGCATTTTTTGGTTTAAAACTAAATAATTCTGTTAAGACAGGATCAGCCATATTATATCTTTTTTTCATTTCTGAAGAAGATGTTTGTAAGAACTGACGACACCTTAAAAATAAAATTGTTGTGTAAAATATTTTTCCTATCTTAAAAATAAACCAAATGATTATAGGTACCTTTCAAAAAAGTCTTTACGTTGGTTATTATTACTTAAAATATCCGGATTGTCCTTATGCATTAATACCTTAGTTCCCAGATACAGTTCATTATCTGTGATTTGATAGGTCGTTGAGTGTCGACGTCCTCTGGAGGGCGCAACTTACTATCCTTCATTCTTTCGTCAGGATAATAAGTGTACTCGCGTGTGGCAGACCTCGTTTCTGAAATTTAATGGTATACACGTTTAATGTATCCAACGACATAACCAAGCACACCATATGACATATTGACATATAGAGCAATAGAGATTACAGGATAATGGCTGATATATATATATATTTATAGCTGATATAGAAAAGTTAAAATTTCAATTTAAATAATTAGAGTTAATAATAAGACCATTACCGAGAACCACACGACCATAATATTTTATTCCATCACTTTCTAAATGTTGAAGGAATCGATATTCAAACATTAGGGAAAAATATACAGGTTGATAACTATTTTGTACCTTTAATGTTAATGTTTTGAGGGCTTCTACTGTAAAACTAGGTTCAGCGTTGACATGAAAATACCATTTTCCCAGTTTATATGAATGTGGAAGTAACTTGTTGAACTGTTTTCAGACATACTCATATGCCTTAGCAGAGAAGAAATAGAAAGATTAAGGAAATTGTCTAACTTCAGGAGAACACTTTTTTAAGTTTTTTTTGAACCAATTCTTTATTAAGTCAGTATGCTTACCAAAATAATCCAATAACATATCATTTGCATCATCACTGATAAGATTTTCCTTTCTTGATTACAATACTATTTCATTTAATGAAACTATTTTCTTATTTTTTCAACGAATAGTTTCTTGAATGAGTTTTAATCGTTTGATTGTCGAATGCCAGGTTTTAAAAATTGACGTCTTGGTGTACCCATTAGCGTTTGTAAGTACTAGCAGCCAAAAATGAAGCCTTTACATTTTGCTAAAAACATAATAGTATGATAAAAAATTATCTTGTGCACAAACACAATCATGTACAAAAACTTACTGTCTACCTTATATTATTGGAAACATTTAATTTGTCTTACCATATATATTATTGGAAAATAAAAATACAAAATATACTTCTTACATAAAGTATAGCTTCTTTATTTAAGTAATGAACAAATCACAAAATAACATATATTGCATTAAAAAAAGTCTTTGATCTCAAATTACTCAAAATGGTAGCTTGCTCCCATTGAATATTTGAATCCATAGTTAACACATGAAACCTAAAATATACACAAACAAGTTAAATAATTAAGGATAATTTTTAAATAACTCGTCGAATGGCAATTTGAACTGTTCAAAGTAGAAGATTGCTCTGATTCTACAGTAGTTTCTAGATCTTATACAAATTGTATTTGTACATACAATGTAAATTGTAATTGTATTCTTAATATTGGCATATATTAAAATATTCATTACATAGACAAGAATAATTTATTTTTACATTGTGAACTTTATGGTTATATGATATATCAGCTACAGAATGACTATCATATAATAGCAATGTTCTCTTCCTCAAATAAATAACTAGTTGAATATATGCATATAATTTTGTTTTGCATTTATCATTATTATTAGAGTAGCCATAAATAATAAAAGCATAAATTAATGGATTAATTTACCTTTACTAATTTCCTTTGGACTTTATAAATAATAAATTGTACCACTTCCTTGCTGGACAACTTAATTTGATATTCCTGGAATAGGTACTGTCATCTTTGAATAATCATTCTGAGCCTAGTAAATTTCAAATAATTAATCAATCTATTTTAATGTAATGAAAACTAAGGTAAACATACAGATTTCACTCTAGAAACTATCAAGGATGGTATAGCATTTTTTTTCAACAACTTAATAATTTTGTTGTTATCTAGAAATGAAGATGGGTGAAAATGAGCTGAATAATGAACGCTATGTTTGGTAATATTGTTCAGACTTAAAGAATTTTTTAAAGCAAACTGATTCCCAATTTCCTTTATTAGTGGCACATTGACAGGACATCTAATTATAAAATTAAAAATATAATATTTTATTAAACAAAATTTAAATGATGTAATTTATTCACAAATAGTATGTACATTGAGTGTTACTTCTTACCTATAAAATTTTATGTTTTCTACTTTACTTTTATTATTTCTAGATTTACCGCATACATAGCAACAGGGCATGGTGCAGAATACAGTTGTAATATAGATGTAAAAGTTATTGGTTCTCTTGGTCCATGAGCTCTTGGTATGCATCAGTGGGGAGACCACTTCCATGCTTTCCTCTTCGTTCACCAGAATGTTAATGACTTCCACATTCTCCCTTCCCACCATCTGTACATTCTCGGGAACCTATAAGTTGATTTTCAAGATTAGACTTGACATTTCCATTGCATAATATAATTATTATTTAAACAGGAATTAATATATATTGGTACTTAGTGTGATGTAACTTGTTTTAATTTTTTTATAAAGAAGTTGGTGAATAAATAATTTTACCTACAGTGTAATTTTCTACAATAAATGATTATCAAGTATAGTACTATTTAGTGATATATCTGTGATGGATCAACAGCGAAATTGTCAAGAGTAAATCTCTCTCTATAAAAACATTGAATGGATCATTTACATATATTATACACATTAAATATTACTTGGTTTATTTAATATTCTGATACATGCAATTTTGAAACAGTGTAAGCGATACATTGAAAAAAAAGGTTGAGAACAGTTAGTACTAATGGGTGTTCATGGTGTCATCTTATTGTGTTGGTTATATTGAAACAAAAATTTTAAATGTGATAAAGGCTTAATGCTAACTACACTTATACTTAACCTTCTGCTTAAATAATCTAAATACAATTTATTATAATAATGATAACTTTATGTACCTATTGGATTTGGTTAGAAGTTTAGCATCTTTAGTTTATAGGTAGTATAAATAAGTTTGGTATGAAAATGACAGTGTAGAAGGTACTTGAGACCTGTGTTTACAAATAAGGGAATCTCATGTGGAAGGTAGAGCCTAAGGATTTTTGTTGGTAATTACTCACTACAGACGGCACTGCTCTAGCAGTTAGTCAACGATGATATACGGTTGCTCCGTAATCACGACCGAGAACAGAATGCCACGAACAGAGTTTTGAGTAGGCCAGTATCTGTTGAGTATTGACACCATTGTTCTCGGCGAACATCACCCATTGACGATTCAATGTAATTTAATCATTGTATTATGAATTGTTATGTTAAATTAATTATTGTATTGTGAATACCAATGCACAGAAACACCAACCACACCTTCGACGTTGCCACAAATCACACAATGCTTTAAAATAGTGATTGGCCTGAAATAATATAATATAATTACATTTTCAAACAATATAATATTATAAATTATGATCATAGTACCATAGTATAATGAATTAATATGGAAAAAAAATTGTAATTACATCCTGTGAATTGTGATCATCTGAAGAAAATATTAAATTACCTTATCATTATGTTATCAGTTAATAAAAATTCGTTGTGTGTTATTTTTAGAAATGCAGTACCACAGAGTATAAAAAAAAACGTGTAATCACCTGTGCTCTTATTGACGGGACAGGGAACTCTTATATACTAGTACTGCCATCTATCAGTGACGTAAGACGATATAGATATTATCTGATAATATCTACAAATAAATTTCATGAGAATTTTTTATTTTAATATTTTGTATTAAAATTTAAAATTATTCGCTTGGCACGATTATAGGATATTGCTGATGTACTAAGGTAGTACTAAGTCTAAAAACTTTAAAATAACAAACAACTTTTAAGTTTTTAATTTATAGGTATGTATAATATTAATTATTATAGAATATAGATATTAGATTATGATTTACAAAATTTAGACGGTTTCTTTTTTTCGCATTTTCTTTTAGCTGTTCCTGGTTTGTTTGCCTAGTCCATTGACGCATTCTCATATTTATATTATATTTTATAATGTATGATAAAATAAAATCTTTATGTTCCGCACATGGAAATGTGAACGTTTCACACTTGGTTATCAATGCTTCTACTGCATGTGTCTTCAAAAACAATTGTTTTACTCAAATTGTTCATCAACTCATCTTCAACGACACTCAATAATTTATTTGGATGTTTCAGCCATCCAATAGATTTGATATTTGTCAAATCAGGGCTAAAGTTCAGTTTATCACCCCCCCTCATAATTTTCGATTTTTTTTTTGTACTGACTTATTTTAGCTATTTAAGAACGATGGTGCAATCAGAATTTGTCGGTCGGACTTAGTTTCGAAGTTATGGGCTCTGGAAGTTAGCGATTTTGCGTTTTGTTACGCATGAGCGCAACGCTGCGTTTATCACGCCTTTTACGATTCTTTTAATTTTTTTCTTGAAACTTGCGTAGTTAAGAACGATGGTGCAGTCAGAATTTTAGTTATGGTTATATTATATAACGTAAAACTACTTATCTAATTAACTTATTTATACGCCTAGCGCCTAGGTTTTTGTTGTTAGTTACAGTTGTTCTGTGTTCATTAGTTTTGAAATTATAAACTTACGGAGTTGACGATTTTCGGTGTTTTACTCATGCTCCTGACGCTACGCTCTATTTTACCGCTCTTATAACAAATTTTTTAAATTATTTTTTGGGGAAACATATGTAATTCATTCTACAACATGACTTAAACTGTGATCTACTTGAGGTGGTGTTACATAGCAAGTCGAGCCAGTCGAGGGATATTTTTGATTTGCGGAGTAGAGCGACGGCGCCGAGGAGCGTAGCGATGAGTGCCGCAAAACGTGTAATCTCTGCACATACTAAACGACATAAAGTACCCTGTGACCTACTTAAGATAGTGTTGCATAGCAAGTCCAGGGATATTATATTATTTTAATTGTATATCAATATCAATTTCCATAATAATATCATATTATCTAAAATCATATTTATAATTAAATGCGTAAAAACACAAAATTTCAAATTTCAAAATTGACTACTTCGAAACGAAGTCCGACCGATAATTTCCGACAGCACCATCGTTCTTAACTCATTAATATACCTACGCAAGTTTCAAGAAAAAAAATTAAAAGAATCGTAAAAGACGTGATAAACGCAGCGTTGCGCTCATGCGTAAAAAACGCAAAATTGCTAACTTCCAAAGCCTATAACTTCGAAACTAAGTCCGAACGACAAATTCTGATTGCACCGCGTTCTTAAATAGCTAATATAAGTAAGTTCAAAAAAAAAAAAAATCGAAAATTGTGAGGGGGGAGGTAAAGAGCATTTGTTCCAATATCCGTTTACAGTTACGTATGTAGGATGATATGCAGAAAAAATCTGGATCTGAAGATATACAAATATACAATTAGAGTGCTATCGTAATCAGGTGCATCCTAATATATAAAATTATCAGAGTTGATCTTAAATAACAATTATTACAGACATATTTGGGCACTCAACTAAGTACTATAAGGAATGCAATATCTCAATATTTGAAACAAACCGATAATCATATTTTCATGAGTATTATTCGTTTTAATTGACCAATATCGCCTTTTAAACGTAAGCGCATGCGTACAGTGGTTGGATCCGCCACTTATCGTGTACTAGCTGTGTGCCAGGGCCTTAAAAAAATGTCTGGATAAAAATATCAGTGTGTTATGAACGCCACCGCATATGCCTGTGGTGTTGTGTTATATTTTATATTTTATTTTATATTTTTTTTTATTATTTTATATTTTTTTTTATCTGGATCCCTTGTTGAACTCGCTACGTCTCTCGGTGTCGTTCTCACGTAGGTAGTCTTCAAGTTATTTCGCCTGAAGTTCTACGCTCCGAAACCGGTATGCGCGGAGACCACAATGGTGGGTTTTGTTTAATTTGAACGATTAATTAATTTCTGTTTACTAATTAATCGATGTAGACGAGATTTAGTGTAGATTATCGTACAAATATGCGTACTGGTATTGACAATACGTGTTGATTGTATATTTATAATAACCGATAAAATATGGTGGTCCCGTTTTTTACGTAGGTGGTATAAAACAAGTAGCACCTCCTATGGTGTATTTGTAGATGCGTACGACGTAAATATCGGGGACTATTGAATAGTTTCCTCACCAATATTTAGGTAAAAGCGCCTCCGTGTGAATATAATATTCACTCGTGTTCGCTTTTTTTTTTTTTATAATAATTATTTGAATATATCACTCACTGGACAGAATTTCTTTTGAAAGAAATAAAAAATTAAAACGGCTACCGCTGCCACCAATGTTATGAACGCCACCGCATATGCCTGTGGTGTTGTGTTATATTTTATATTGCGTCTCTGGTTGTATCCGTAGACGTCAATTTGTTGAAAACCGTTCTCTGTGTAGCGGGTGATAGTCAAATGTTGTTTAATAGATTATTAATAAAAAGAACACACGTTTTAGATTTAAATGAGAATATTATACTTTATTAGTTTTAAGAAATATAATTTATACTACAAGCACACTACTTAACTCGAATGAGTCGGGTTCAAGACTAAATTGCCGACAGGACCGATACTATAGTCTTGTCGCGCATAAGCACATATCTGCGATAAGACGCCTACATACAGGCGTTATTATATTCTGTAAAACAAGCGTCTCTATAGTCTCTATAGTGGTGACTGGTGGGCATATAACAAGTGTATCAGAATATAGACATAATAATACATTAGTTTAGTTTTGTATATTATGTACTGCCGTCTGCCAGTGTTATATTACAATTTACAAGTTACAATAATTTATTGTACAAGTTTCCCCACCACCTTAGCACATCAAATGAAAATCGATATTTTATATCAAACTTCTTAATGTTGCATGAGGTATTGTACGTGGCGCGTTTTTTTTATCGTGGTTTCCCCAAGTTTAAACTTTAGGCCTATGTCCACGCTGAGGAGAATGGTCGAACTGTCGGACATTTATAATGACGGGAACGGTTAAGACTGTAACTTGTACAAATTATATACCTATTAAGTATTCTAAGCTAAATTGACTGATAGTTGTTTCATAATTAAACTTTCATTTAATAAAATATAAGTATCGCTCTTCTGTCCGACAATTTCCCATCACCCTCATTGCCAGTGTTGAATTTAAGACGTGTAAAATATTATCCGTACTCCGAAAAACGGGGATATTGCAGGATCTGGCATAAATACACAATACAAATTTATAAAAAAAAATTTAATTTACTCCACAAATAAAATATGTATGTATTTTTTTTCTTTTCCCATATTTTAAGCCTCGAATTCTAGGGTTATTGACGTTTCTGAAATACATTACATTTCAAAGGTTTATACTGCATATTTTAAGTGTCAATACCTATATGTATTTTATTTGTGGAGAAAATTAAATTTTTTTATACATTGGGTAATCTCGTCCATATTGATTTAAATTTATGACTACTAAATTCAACACTGTCTACATATACCTGAAAATAAAATATATATTAAATGTTACGTATACATGTATACGTAATTAAAATTAAAATACCTTATAGCTATAATATTAAAACTAATAACTGTAAATAAGTACAATATTATATAGTTTCTAAAATAACATTGATAAACTAAACTTACCTATAATTTAGTATACTATTACCACTCTCATTTTAATATTCATTTAACAAAAAAGAAACATTTTTTTTTCACGTATCATTATTAATCCATTGTAAATCCAACTAAAATATTGTTTATCTTTCTTGAATATAATAGCAAGGATAATGTGTATAAACGGGAAATTAGTTTGTTTTATCACGTTGTATCCTTGAAAAACTACTATTCTCTGAAAATAAACTTTGGCAATCATAATAAAAACATTTAAAATTTAAATTCATTTTCGTAAAACAAAACTAATAAAAAATAGGTAGTGAACTAAAAATAAAAACAATTGACAGTTAAATAATATAAAAAAAAAAAATAGCACTCTTTTGTTGGAATTCAAATAAGTAATAACTGACTGACTGTTGATATAAATTATAAAATAAACAAACTATTATAATATATGGTATGATAGTTGTAGCCAACAAAGTTTTATTATTTCACTATTATTTTTGTATGCTGTTCAATATTTCAAATTTCAACTTTAAAATTATATTAACGCGGCACATTAGATATGCAATTCAGGTACATCATCACCGCTTGCGGCGGCTTTGCCCATAATAATAGTAAAAATACTATCTGAAGTCTAGGATTACATGTACAATACTGCTCCCTCCCGCCTAAACCAGTAAAAGAACCAGTGAGCAATAATGCAGTAGATTTTTTTTACATTAAAATACCCCGTCAAATATAATATGTACTTAACAACTTAACAGAATTCGGTGTTGACATCAGCTAATATATTTTTATATATGTATAGAAAGTAACAGTAAAAACTGACACAAGCATATTATTGTATGTTTAAAATTTTTTTACCACCTCTTCGTCATTGAAACAAAATAAGCAGCAGGGGACATTAATAATTATTAATTATAGTATTTGTCATGAATTCGTGATATTTGTGTTGAGGTCCGACCAAACACCAATTTCAGACATGAAGCGATTGGTTCAAATAACCTTATATAGTTATATCCCGTCACCACTGTAACACAAGGTAATATTTATCAAATTATTAATTGAGATATGTATAATTTGAGTATTTAATTACCTTGTAAGGTAAAATAGGTAAAATAGGTACACTGTAAGCATTACAATAAAGTTAAGGCCCCTGCAAAGCCTATCAATTTTTCACTAAAACCACCTTAGCGAATGACAGTAATTAATATACTTCAAACGGTTTGATTTAACATATTTTCAAATGTCTTAAAATTGCGGGAAATTTTAAATACCAGACCCCTTTATAATATAATCATGTCTTTTCACACTTAAACTAGGAGGTAATGTTATTTTTTCAATATGATTTTCATTTTTGTGTTAAATTAGTAATCACAGCATTTAGTAATATGAAAATCTAATTAAATTTTAACTGATATTTTAATTTAACATATAAGTTGGCCTACAAAATTTGAAAAAATAGGTATTATTAAATTAATACTTTGAATACTTCATACTCGATACGCGTATAATAGTATACGTGTAGTTTTGTAAGCACCTTTACTATATTCTCTTATGTAATAAATATTATTTTAAATTCATAAATAGATTTAAATTGTTCGTTCAGGGTACGGATTCGATAAACGTAAAATCGTTTTGCACGGTCATATTAACTGCCATACTGTTTTAGTAACGATTTAAAAGTCACGAGCGAATAACTTCAAATCGAAATAAAGTTCGATCGTAATACATATGTAAGTATATACTATATTATACTGACAGGCGATAGCATCGAAACCATAAAACGAAGACGACACCAATATAGTATATTGTGACCCTTAGCACAAATATTTTAATAGCTACAAAACTTATCATTCAAATTTTGAATTAGATACCTACGTCAACAATCTAAAAAAAAATGTCCACTAAATAAATTATGGTAAAATAGAGGGTTCTCATTTGAAAAACAGAAGTTTGTATCACCATAAGACACAATAGCAGTTGCGAAGCGTCATAGGAGACAACGAGACAACGTCTCCCCACTTAGATATTAGAGCATGGGACAAATAAATAATAATTTAGTTTTATAAAATATTTACAATTTTGAATTTATATTTAAATTATAAGTATGATGTATGTTTCAATATTTGTTAAAATCGGTTTTTCGTTGTAGTTATAGAATTCTTAAAATAGATTAGATGAGCGCTATATAGCTGTGCGTGCGAGCTGGTGATGCGGGTCATTCCAAGTTCGGTATTTTATCAAATAGACGTTGCGACCCAAAGTCTCACGAATATGGAGGGCGGGTACAGGGGGATTTTTAATGTGAGTGGGATTAACTATCTAGTATCTACGAATTGAGACGCGTCTCGCCGTTCGTAATAATACCTGATGATACCTTGGTCCTCAATTATCGACGTCTCCGTCACGTCATCACGATATCGTCAATGGTGATAGGTACATCATACGTGTTTCTTAATATTTATATTGTAATTAGTCCTCATGGCTAATAAATCATATGCTACTTAGAACGATGAAATTATTAACTACTCAAACGAAAAAAATTAAAATTGAAAAATAAAAGACCATGTCAAATATTGAATTTAATGTCATTGACTTATTTTCTAAGACAAAAATAGAAAAATAGATTTAACGTAAATTTGTTTTTTAAACATCATCTTAATGCAATCTACATATGTTCAGTAGTATATCAAATATTTGTTTGTTTGTTATAGTACATTTGTTGTTAGATTCAATGACTATTTTAAGAAAGTTGTCAAGTATTAAATATAATATTTCATTTTTTTTTTAGTTTTTGAACATTTATTTCTCATTGTATAAATAAAAAAGAAAAAGATGAGTGCAGACGTATTAGTGCTATTTTTTTTCAGTGTCTCCCCAACCAAAAAACTCACGCCTCGCTACTGCACAGTAGTATAGTGCAAGCGAATTCAAGAATTTGAGTTAGTTTTCATATTGTATATATTTAAAAATTCAAAAGTCGTAATTTGAATAAATTCGTTATTAAAGGAAAAATGGGGGTGAGCACTGAACATGCTTGGCGAATCAACCTTATTATAATGTATAATACAATATATTATATCGAATTTTTTTAATGATTATTTAAACTTTGTCTTAACAATAAAGTTTTTAGTTTTTAAATTTCGGTAAGATTTGGGTTTCATGTCATTTGAATACTGTAAAAGTTCTTAAATACTTTAAAATATTTTGTACTATTTAGTATTTTTCCTTAATTAATAAATAACAAATATTAAGTGGAATATAATATTGGCTATATTGATTTTCATATCATAATAGTTAAAATATCTCGTTCTAACTATACTCTCAATTATCAAAATGTTATTAAACCATATTGAGTTTATAAATATACACACTTTTAATAGTAGTAGATTTGTATTCTAGTAATCTTCAGGATAAGTCCGACATAACGGTCTACCGCAATCGTTGATAGTACCATACATGATCTCTCCAAAGAGTATTCTAAGGTTATTAAAAGTAAGTTTATCATTATCGTGACCTTCCAAGTTCCAGGACACAACATATATTGTGTTCGGAGAAATTGCCAAATATCTACATTAAATGGATACGACCTTTTCCGTCCTTGATCTCCAAACGTCGACATTTTTTGTATTGATTGAATTATTTCGTCGATTTTCGTCGATAACATACTCGGGTATATATTTTATGTTATTGTATTTTATCCCTGTGCGGCTGCCTCTACGTAGCATTTCAAAAATGTTTGTTGTTTATTATGTATATAGTACTTACAGTGGCGTAGACAGAAACTTTCATTGGGGGGGGGATATATAAACACCAAAAAACTAGAAAATATTTGTATAAAAAAAATTTTTTTTTTTTTTTTACAAAATGTGTCAATCTACAATATAATGTCTATTTTCCTAGATTTATGTGCCATAATATCTAGAATTTCTTCGGGCGTAATTGGAACTTCCCGATGAATTGATAACAATGTTAATCCATTTAATCTAGTCTGAAAATTAAATACAAAAATAGATTTATACCAACCTTAAAGACGAAAAATAACTATTAATTTTTACTTCAGACATCGTATTTCTTAAGTATGTTTTAAGCCTTTTAAGGCACGAGAACGTTCTTTCGGGTGTTGATGTGGATACTGGTAAGGTACACAGTATTTTAAGTAGTTGATGCACATTTGGAAATATTGAGGAATTACATAGTCTCAGAGCATCTATAGCTATTGTAGGATGTTGATTTGTTAAATTCAATTTTGATTGCCAGATTTTTAACTCTGCAATTACTGTCTGAACATCAGTGTCAAGATAAAAATGTACAAGTTCTTCAAATTCTTGAAAGTCAATGTTGCCAGAAAATATACATTGAAAACCTAGACAGAAAGTCCATACTTATGATTTTTGTAAATAGTATTTATTAACAAATATAAATTTTAATGTAACTTGGGTACCTACCTTTTAAAATATTTTTGTGTATAAGAAATCTTTCTTTTAAATTAATTATAAAAGAGTCAATGTATGGTATTGCTATAGTAATTCTATAGTAATTTTCAGGTTGAATCGTCTTATCCTCAGTAAATATATTTGCACGATTTGCCTGTTTCTTAACTATACGTTTGATAGAAATGTTAATATCCAAAATGTCTGCCATTTTCTATTTATATTTTATAAATTAATATACTATATCTATTCCTATTTCCTATATTATAAAAATAATTTCTATGGACAATAAAAATTAGTATACCTCAGCTTCGTTATACATTGATTTAAATTCTTTTTCAATATTTTGTCTCAAATCCTCAAGCATAGATACATTGCACTCTGCTAACTGTACGGCTTCTTTCAAGTCAATATCATTTTTTTGAAAACATTTACACAAAGGTAAACCATAAGAAAATACCACCTATTAATACAATATAAGTAATTATAACCAACTAAATACAAAAAGAATNTAGTGCATAATTTCACCACATCTGTAGAGCGCTAGTAGTAAGTAGGGTCATAAAGTATGTTTTATTAGTATAGACTATAGATCAGTTTTTCTATTTTCGGTATTTTATATTAAGTTAAGAGTGTATATAAAAAAATATTTTAAAAGTCCATGGGGGGGGATCCATCCCCCATATCCCCCCCCCGTGTCTACGCCCATGAGTACTTATGACGCATATCTGTGCTATATTATTTCTCCTATTTGCTTAGAATGATGCATTGAATATATTTTTTTTTTATCAATTATGAACTATTTAATATTATTGTGACTAAATAGATTTAACTCACTATGACAATTGAATGGAAGTGGACTGAAATAAAATAAAATCATATTATATTTCCCATTTTTAATTTGACCATGCACGATGATGACGTTATTTCAATTACAGAAATCAAACAGGTAGAGTCACTGTACTGAGTAGTAAGTTTTGTGAGTATCAATTATGTATGAAAAATATACAATTGAGAAATATACAAAAACAAAGGTGGACTAGTATGCAATGTTAATACAGGTGTTAATCGAATCTAGTTATCGAGTACCTGTGAAGTCTGTGAGCCTTACCACAGTTTAATTGTGTGCTAATTCAATCATAGAACGTGCAATATTTAAATAATTATAACATTGGTACTTAATAAATCAGACGGCGTGCTGTGTATGCAAAACAATAGCACACCGGTAGTGCGGTACAATAAAAGGCGATGTAGCAACGTAAATAATTAATCTATTATTATTATGAATAATGAATTATATAATAACAATGTAGAATATATTAAAATTACAAATTTTAACTACGACCGACAAAAAATTAGGAATTGGTAAACAAGTTTTCTTCGCATCGGACGAAGCACTTGGATTTTAAATTGTGTCTATTAACTTGTCATTATCACCTATTATGAATTTATCGTTTATTGCAGTTTGTATCAACTATATATTCGGGTTTTTTTTATATTTTTGGAAAAAATATAATATAAATAAATTTTTTGTTACATTGAAATCACCATGTGAGACTTATGTGTCGACTCAAAAATACTCAATGCTCATTGGGTCAATAATCTATTATTGTGTATAGTTCATTAATTGATAAGCTTGTCGAAACATCGTATCGTAGTTAATGTTATAGGTAAGTTATACTCTCACATAGTCAATTTAAATGGGCCTACTAATGGATGTTCTTATGGCAACATAATTTAGGTTTAATCCATGTAATTTTGAATGGATATCAGAATGTGATGTCTAATTTGAGATCTAAATTAAATATCTCAAAGATGTTGATGTCACTCAATTGCGCACAGGGTTATTATATCCAATGTTCTTAAACAATTAAACAAATAAATTATGTACATAAGCAGTACATTTACAGCTTAGGTCAGGACATACGTTTTGATCATATGACTTGGACTAAAAATATCTAATTGCGTTGATTTACTTAAAGTGATATACTGTTATAACCTAATTATAACTTGTGAAAATGTGAACTAAAGAATTATCCCAGATAATATAATACAATTTAATAGCTAGTTAAAATCTATAATATTTGTATCTATTTGATGATATGATTGTTATCATTATTAAAGATTTGTAATTTGTATGCAGGTGTGGAGATACAACAACAACAATGATAAATCATTCTAATATTTTATACCTCAAATTCTAATTAAAACGCTAATATCATATCAAAACATAATTGTTTGCCATCTCATATTATTTTCTACATACCTAATATTATTTTATTTACATCTGCAAAAAAATATAACATTTATAACAATTCTTCTGGCTTATTATAAAAACACAATTCGTTTCTACACAAAATCGTCCATATAAATAATGTCTATTTTAGATTTCATTATTTCTGTAAACGTTGCGCTGCAAACATATAAGAAGAGTTTGATACAATATAATAAAATTGCAGTGCAGATGTTAGAGGAGGCCGTCCTGTTCGCGGGACAGCGAACACTAGACATTCTGCTCTGTAAGTTTAGTCATGTAAATAGTTATTCAACTAATTGATTTTTAATCATATCCAAATGGTTACACAGTTTATGATTACACTATTCTGTATTCACGTTGTGTATTGATAGAATAACAACTAATAATTGATAATATACTATATAGATTCAACCTGGACGACACTGGAGTCACTTTTGGCAAATCATTTGGCGCCCTTAGGCCGACTACCAGATAACCTTATGAAGCTACGAAGAATTATGAACTAACCCAATTACGAAAAAACAAAACTCCATTCGGGAGATCTCGCATGATAAGTGCTTAAGTTAAAACTGATTAATTAGATCGAATGATTTTAGCTTCAACAAAACACAGACTGGAGCTCTTCATCCAGTTCATACATCGTTACAAGACCCAACCCGGGCATCTTTGTGCGATTAATATGAGATATATCGTCAATCTTCGTTCGTGCCTAATCTTATAAGTAAGATCCACCCGCGGCAGACTCATGTGAGCTTTTGCACTAACCGGAAGTATTGAGTTAACGGTTAGTGCGTCATTCGTCGAGGCCGTGTTCCTTTCTTCGTGTAAAATGTCCTGGCTTCTACCTCTATTACAGCCGGAGGGTTCGACAGAATTCTATGATAATAATTTATTCCGGGTATTCTTTGATTTATCAACGTCACAGGGTGTGAAGGTTCTTTCTTCTTACTCTTTTTCATCACCCGGACGCCCGATGTTTGGTTACAGCAGCAGCTGCACATTGTTGTTAATTTGAATGTATTCAAAATTAAAAAAAAAATTGTAATATCTATAATATGTATTTAATAAATATGTAATTAAAAATAAAACACTGCATATCATTACTATTTTATTAACATTAATAATTAGGACTACATACAAATCCGCACCCTAGTTATTATTTTAGGTATACCGCGGACTAAGATTAGTGGTGACACCTCAAAAAGTCACCCGACAAATAACCATCCGACACAAAACCACGGAATAACGACAAAACGTCATTCGACAAAACACCATTATCATAATTCGACAAAATGCCACCCGACATAAAACCATCGTACCATACTACCAACCGTAAATCGAAAATCGCATCGTAATGAATCGTCAAAAAGGTTAGGTTATAAGTTACTATTTTAAATCGTGCTATACCCGGATGCGTTGTCTTCGTCTTACAGGTGCGTAACATATCAAATTTTATGTTCAGCAGTTACTCTTTAAAATTAAAATATACCTAATTAAAAACGCATGAGAAGCCCTCCGTAATAATCTTACCTATAATTTTAATAAGAGGTCAATTCACTCTAATTTTTAAGCTAATAGCTAAGCGTGATCTGCTGAACGTAAAATTTGATATGTTATGTGCGCTTGTAAGACGGAGACAACACATGCGGGTATAGCACGATTTAAAATAGTAACTTATAACCTAACCTTTTTGACGATTAATTACGATGCGATTTTCCATCCTATTATTTATCTATATTATTTTAACCTAACCTAACCTCTTATAGTTTAGTTATTAACATTTAATTTTAGTTCTAATATTAAAATTAAGACCATGGGTCATTCATATAGTTCAAATTCAAAATAATATAATATATCAAAAAAAATGTCTTATCTTTTTAAGTATACCAACCCACAAGAGAAACTAGGGATATTTGTCTGGGAGGGCTAGAATATTGTATCAGCAGCACGGGCCAAAAGACTAAAATATGATTAAAAAAACTGGGAGGCCAAGCTCCATTTATCTATGTACCAATAAACAAATAACAAACCATGAACAATAAATTAAGTACCTAGCTACATAGTATTGTTTTATGAGTTCCTAACTGAAGTACCTGCAGGAAATTATGCAATATAGTTAAACAGTGGTAGAATAGTTTACAATGTTTCAAGCGGTTTTCTACTATTTTTGTTAACTGAATTTTCTATTTATCATCTTTAAAATATAAATATATACCTAATTAATATTATCAATTGACATTTTAGACTAAAAAAAAAAAACTCCAATGTACCTATAGCGAAAATAATAAAAAATATATAGAAGGTAAAACACAAGTATCGTGAGAAACGATATCCCCATACAAGGTATGATCAAATTCACCGTGTAAAATAGCGTTTTCCTCCACATCGTGATATTGAATGTAATATCTAGGTATGGTTCTTCGCAGCAAGTATAATATTTCTCATTTCTGTAATATAAAAAAATATATTACACCTGTTCATAGTCAACGAAAAGTCATTCGATTATTACGCTTAGATCATAACATTAGAGTGAACCTAAACCTCCTTGATTTATTACGCCTATGCTGAGAGAAAATCACATTATTAATTACTAATTTTGCGATGGTCCCAAAAGTTTCGCTAAGTTTAATAGGCAGGTACCATGGTATAAACTACATAATATATGTGAAGTAGTATATTTACATATGAATATATGTTGCAAAAATAACAACGAAAATAATAAATAATGATTGATTTTAAAAAACGATTGTACACCATCAAATAGACAATATCAATTCTGTATGGACCTTTATTTTATTTGGGATCAATACGAAATAAAAAAAAATACCACTATGTACATCTCAAACTATTTAACTTCTGGAAAATAATAAGTAATGCATAACTCTATAGAAGCAATAAAACTTTAAAAATGGACGAACACACGATCTTCACTAACAGTTACACTCTCTGATAATTGCTATGTATTGAGTATGATATGTCAGCATAGGCGCAATTTGGGCTAAATTTATGGGGGTGCTAGATTTATGTGGACCAAAGAAACCCTGATTAATTTTTTTATTGAGTTGAATGAGCTTCCATTAAATATATAATATTTTATTATCCCCTGAGCAATTATTATCACAAATTTTATTATCAAGTATCAACTAATATTTTACATTTTATTAAAAATGGTTTTATTTTTGAAAATCCAAATTATTAATAATCATAATATATGATTTAAATATCAACATGAATATTTGTTTTTAATATCACATAGTTATTATCATTTAAGTTCTACACACAAAAACAAATAATAATAATAATAAAGAAATAGGAGGGAAATGTAAATAAAAATGTGACGACAATGACCAAAAATAAAACTAAAATAAACAACAATATTTTACATTTTTTATGTGTAAAGATATACAGCATAGAAGAGAAATTCAAAGAAAATACACATTAAAAATGTACATTCAAAAAACGATCAAATCTATTTACATGATTTTACATCAGAATTGTACTAAAAATATTTATATAATGTTATGTATAAAAATAAAGTATTTACAATTAGTGTTCAGTAATTGAGTCCTAATAATAAGAATTAATAACATATTTTGGTACAAGACAGAATTTAAATGGTCAAAAAACATTTTAACAATAGCCATTATACAGATGTATTTTTTAACTTTTTTTTTTTTTAAGGTAAGCTCATGTATGATGCAGATCCTGAGCGACTATACAATTCAGGACCATAGAAACCAGCTGCAGCAGCTTGTCCGTATGCAGCAAAGGCTTGTTGTTGATATCTGCAGCAAAAAAACAAATTGTGTTGATGATAACTTGGGTCATATAATCATAGACAATATACTATGCATATTATAGGCTATACAAACCTAATTTTATCATACATTCGCATGTCAGAATCTATCTCCCTTTCTCTTTCCCTGAATGCAGGACGACTACGGTAACTATTGTCATACCTTTCACGTCTGGTGTTCGAGTCACGACTAGATGAAAACCTAACAGTATAGTACATTATCACAAGGAAAAAAAACAAAAGAAAAAAATTACTATTAAATAATGAAAATACAATGAACCTTCGATTATCATTCCGTGTATCACCTCGATTATCACTCCTAGAATATGGTGTGCTCCTATTTCTATGATGATTATAATTTGTAACATACCGATTACTGCTTTGATCATATGACCTTGTAGCATTGGAGGAATTACTAGAACTCGGAGGTGTAATTAGAACAGTAGTTGGAGTGGTTAACAAAACACCTGAATTTATCTTTTTTTTGTTCGGTTTTTCTGTATCATCATTACCACGTTTTCGTTTCAATGAATCTCCCGATTCCATCTGCTAAATTTAAATTTAAATATTTGTTTTTAACAATAATTGTCAATTTATACAAAAAAAGTTTTAATTATTAATATTAATTAATAATACATCAATTTATGTCAAAAACTTACATTTTTCGGGAGTTTTTTATCTTCTTTAGATTTATCTCTAATTTTATCTTTGTTTTTATTTCTATCTTTTACTTTGTTATCTTTCTCAAGCTTTTCTGTTGTATGTAATCCTCGGCGATAAATTTTTAGCTGTTTTTTAGAATCAAATTCAGTAAACTTTGAGACGAAAAACCACAAATTACTGTTAATAAAATATAATAGTTAGCATATAGTATTCATCTCTATACAATTATTAATTGACAGAAAAAATATGTATTGTCCCTGTGAGTCTTAATAAAAAAACGGAATTATGATATCTTCATTATTTCAGGAGATATTGCAATGGGTAAATCCTCACGGGACACCCTGTATTGCTATATTATTATTTTTTGGTTATTTAAAAAAAAATGCTGTATTTATTTTAAAGTCATGTATAATATACATACATAAAATATGTAGGTATAGGTGTTATGTTATTGAATAATGCATTATACACGGTAACAGTATACATAAGCAATATATAATGCGACGTTGCACATAATACAAAACAAATATACAACACCTAACAACTACCTTGTAATCACCGACTCGCTCAGCAGCATCACAGGAATCCAAAACACAAGACATCCATCCGACATATCCAAACTAATACAAGAAAAAACATATGAAGCAAGCGGTATGGGGATGGATATATGCTATATGTGGACTCCTGGACACTGCGGCATACAAGGCAATGAAAAAGCAGACCTAGAAGCGTCAAAAGCTGCCTCCTCCCCAGACACCCCATTACTCAATATATACACACACGAAGACAAAAAAAAAACAAATCAAACAAGTCATAGACCAAAAATGGCTCACACAATGGACTAACCAGCATACTAAGTTAAACCAAATAAAAAACAACACACAGATATGGCAAAACCCCAGACTAAATAGGAAAGAAGAAACCATATTAAATCGTCTGAGAATAGGCCACACATTCATCACACACAGGCACCTCATGGAAAAAAATGATCATCCCACCATATGCGAAATGTGTGGAGTGGACTTCACAGTAAAACATATCATTACTGAATGCCAAAAATATGTTCTCTTCTGTTTTTTCTATCCATTTTTATCTTTTAAATAATATGCTTAATGTCTCGAATACTGTCCTTTGGCTTAATATTATTAGTTATTCGCCCATCGAGTTCATCGTTGTTCAAATCATTTATCTCCATTGTCATTTAATAAGTTTAATAGGTGCTTATAGTGTTGATCTGCAACCAACTACCCCTTGATTGACTACGCTTTATGTAAAATATTTTTANCATTTAATAAGTTTAATAGGTGCTTATAGTGTTGATCTGCAACCAACTACCCCTTGATTGACTACGCTTTATGTAAAATATTTTTAGTTTTTGAATTACCTAACCATTTTTTAGTTTCAATATAGTTTTGGGAGAGTGACTGACGTTATGCGTCTCAACATTCTACTCATTTAAACATGTTTTTACTAAAACATTTGTACTCATTATTGATCATTGATCAGAGCACCCTTCAATACTTAATGTACCATAAAAGTAGTTACAATTGTTGGACAGCTGAATTCTATTTATTTCTGAATTGTCCACGAGTTAACCAAGTCTAAGATGTTCGAAACATAGAAATTTAAATCGGACCCATTTACAAAATTTTAAGTTAAAGTTAGGATGAGCACATAGAAAAATGGTCAATGATTTAATATATTAAAAATAATACTATAATTTACAGTGGGTGTACTCTATTCTGCTTGTTGTCTTAAATATGTATAGGGTGCTCATGTGGTTTTTAGTTTTTGATCATTATACCTACTGACATAAAAATAAGTATTAGCTATAATAATACTTACATTTTACTTTGCCCAAATGTTTATTGTGAATTTTATGACAAATAAAAGATTTGAGTAATTGTGTCCTACAATTTTCCACATCATATCTATAACACTAATTTATTTTGTTTGGTATTTTCTAATAAATGTATTTTCATACTTCCTAAATATATATATATATATATATATATTATAATTTAAGTACATTTATCAGTATCAGTATTATTCTATGTATATGCAGGCTGTTAATTCAACATAATGATTATACAAATAATACATATATTTTATTCACAAAGTTTTAAGTATATAATGCATATTAAATAAAAACATATTATTTTATATAATAATATATAATTAAAAAAAAAATCCAAATATGCCCAGGTGCTAGTTTTAATATTTTGTATAAAGAGAACATTTTTTTTTTT